CGAGGCAAGTGTTACACACAGAGAATGCGGCAATCATGGGTAATTTATTGTCATGGGACGAGGCAAGTGTAACACACAGAGAATGCGGAGATCATGGGTAATTTATTGTCATGGGACGAGGCAAGTGTAACACACAGAGAATGCGGAGAGCATGGGTTATTTATTGTCATGGGACGAGGCAAGTGTAACACACAGAGAATGCGGAGATCATGGGTAATTTATTGACAAGGGGAGGAGGAATCATGGGTCATTTGTTGCTATGGGGCGAGCCAAGTGAAACACTTAGAGAGCGGGGAGATCATGGGTAATTTATTGTCATGGGACGAGGCAAGTGTAACACACAGAGAATGCGGAGATCATGGGTAATTTATTGACAAGGGGAGGAGGAATCATGGGTCATTTGTTGCTATGGGGCGAGCCAAGTGAAACACATAGAGAGTGGGGAGATCATGGGTAATTTATTGTCATGGGACGAGGCAAGTGTAACACACAGAGAGTGGGGAGATCATGGGTAATTTATTGTCATGGGACGAGGCAAGTGTAACACACAGAGAATGCGGAGATCATGGGTAATTTATTGACAAGGGGAGGAGGAATCATGGGTCATTTGTTGCTATGGGGCGAGCCAAGTGAAACACATAGAGAGCGGGGAGATCATGGGTAATTTATTGTCATGGGACGAGGCAAGTGTAACACACAGAGAATGCGGAGAGCATGGGTTATTTATTGTCATGGGACGAGCCAAGTGAAACACACAGAGAGTGCGGAGATCATGGGTTATTTATTGTCATGGGACGAGCCAAGTGTAACACACAGAGAATGCGGAGAGCATGGGTTATTTATTGTCATGGGACGAGCCAAGTGAAACACATAGAGAGTGCGGAGATCATGGGTAAGTTATTGACAAGGGGAGGAGGAATCATGGGTCATTTATTGCCATGGGACGAGGCAAGTGTGACAGACGCAGTGTAGGGAAATTGGGTAATTTATTACCAAGAGACGAGGCAAGTGTGATACAAGTCTGGATGCAGGGAACACAGTAACTACGCATTACATTCCACATGAAATCTTTTGAAGACGTTTATCGTCTAACCAGCTTACATAACTTTCTAGACAGTGCTGTAAGGTTCGACTTACGATTACTATGAAATACACTCCCATATAACACACGCTTCACACATGGTACCAATTACAAGGTCTAGATCAGGATATTGACACTTGGGCATGGAGTATAACCCCTGTTGTAGGTTTCGTTTGAGAAATAATGATGACAACATATATCTCATCTCACTCTCTCATTCACTCACTCACCCATGCACTCACTCTCAATTTCATTCATTCACTCTCTTTCTCATTCACTCTCTAACTCACACTCACTGATGCACTCTCTCACTCATGAACTCAGTCATATACACACTTTCCAACTCCCTCGTTCACTAGCTCCTTCCATCTCCTCATTTACTCATCTCGTCGTTACATCAATCATGCGTGAGTAAGGATAAGAATTTATGGATCAGTTGTTCATCCGATAACGTGAAGCAGGTGACGTTGTAGAATTTAATCTCGGTAACGTCATGCTGTCACGTTACCTTGCACGTGCACCAGGTTGGTTCTACGGATGTAGGATATGGCCGCCCACATCATGACACTGCCACTTCCGAATGTACCCACTTCGACAAAACAATTTTAAGCAAAACGTTACCTGTAAGTCGGTAGATGTTGCAGTAGAAAAATGATTGATCACTGAACCAAACTCTACGCCAGTGTCTCAGAAGGCATGTCTGAACGTTCACATACAATTGAACACGTAAACGTCGGTGCTGAGGTCGTAGAATAGCACCGCAATACGGCCTTTGGGCTCGAAGTCTAAACTCATTAAGAAGACGATTAGGTATTGTTTGCTCTGACACCCTACACAGACCAGGTACATTAGGGGCAGTGTGTCTGTCGCTTTAACGGTCCGATGACGTAGATGGAAGACACATTTTTAAAGAAAATCACCTGTGCGTTTCTTTTTTGGAAGAATATATCTTATCACTTCAGTTTCCATTGGTTGTATACACTATACAGTGCCAGCAATAGTAAAATTAAACAGCAATCAAAACATTAAACAATTAGTTAATATTATTTAGGTTGATTTAGATCGGACTTAAGTGACACTGATATGGGGACAACAAATTTACGCCACTTTAACCCCTTGAGTGTCACTGGCTTCAAACTTCTCAGTTGATGATAACATCACACTGTGTTAAAACACAAATCAGAATATTCATTTTTTTTCAAATAAATCTATTTCTCTTAAAATTAAAATGAGCACAACCATTAGTAAAAAGATCCTTTAAAGATGTTTAATGAAAATAACTAACCCATGTGATAAAAATGTATTGTGAATATATTTATTGGTGACACATTGTAGATCGTCGTTGTGGTTAGCGAGGAAATGATAAGAACATTATATACCTTCAAAATATCGTCCAGATTTTCATACAATAGCCAGTGAGGACACATTTGACAATTATCTAAAATAATTGTAAACAAGTCAAAAGACAAAATTAAAAAGCATGTTATCGAAATATGATAAAATCTTATTAATTCTAAATTAATTGTTTTCATAGCAAATACTCTGTATGTATGTAGATGTTGGACAATTGTCGGAAGGATTGAACACAGTTCTCAATGTTGTTGAGTGAAAAACAAATTGGTGTGAAAAGATGGGGGGGACCTGATTGGATGGTAAGGACAGCTGACTTGGTGGAATTCATGCATATAACCGTATGCGTAAAACGACGCTCATCACTTGAGTGTCTGGCCTAGATTTTCGAAACGATCGTATCCCTAAGATATCTTAAGATTGTCGTAAATCTAAGATAGCCCCATACTTGTCGTACGTTTATTTTATCTTCATCCAGTTAACAGGGGGACCCACTCAGACACACTATACTGACTCAAAACAGACCAGTCCTTGTCTTGTCACCTTCAGCAACCCATGCTTGCCATAAATGGCGTCTATGCTTGTTGTAAGAGGCGACTAACGGGATCGGGTGGTCAGGCTCACTAACTTGGTTGATGCATGTCATCGATCCCAATTGTGTGGATCGATGCCCATGATATTAATCACTGGATTGTCTGGTCCAGACTGAATTATTTACAGACCGACGTCACATCGCTGGAATATTGCTGAGTGCGGCGTTAAACAGCAACAATACTATTCTATTTGCTATGTGGAGATTACTTATTTTCTTTGCGTGCGAGGGGGCACGTGTTGTCCAGTCGTCTGAGGCGCTGCAATTCGCTGTGCAGAGTTGCGTCCCTTGGGCCCGCCAGAAACTTACGATTGTGGGCTGGAAACCCGATTCGGACCGATTATGTTTCTAGGTTTGTCAGCACCATGCCCGTGCTCGTGCACGTGGATTTCAAGTGGTAAACGTCTGAGACCTCCTTCACTTCCCTCCCAAAGTAAGCCGACACGTCTTGATATAACTGGACTACTGTTCACAGCAGCGTTAAACCTAACTCACTCACTCACTCTTCGTGTTCGAAGTACAATGTAATTCATCAAGTATTGGGGTGCCCTCGTGTTCGGTATAGCAAACCTTTGTCGCTTTATCGCATGTTCTGAGAGGTGTATAGTTTACCTCATCAAGAAAGTCCATTAAATACAGGATTAGTTTTGGAAGAGCAAGCGGGTTTTAAATCTCATAAAAAACCCAGGGTAAGTTTTTATCTGACATATAAACCGAAAAAAGTAAGTTAAAACATTTATCAACATGTTTATGTTTTAAACATACTTTCCACGAACCTTAGGGAACGTATAATAGGGTGTACAATATATGTTACTGGCGTACTTGTACTTGAAAAAACATTTTTTTGTGATTTATCAGCGCCTTGGCTACAGATACGAAGGTTGCATGTTCGATCCGCGGGAATATAAACATCATTTGATTTCACATTTCATTACATTGTGTTCAAATGCAACATTAATTTCTAGCGAGAAACATTCATATGTTAGAATATAAATAGAAGTTGTATTATAAAATCCCGGGGATAAAATAACATGTTTATGAGATTTAACCCGACTGGAGAACAATAGGATGATGCCACCAAAGTTTGTAAGTGTAAATACTACCGTGAAGATCGTGGGTAGAATAGGTCTTCACCAACCCATGCTTGCCGTAAAAGGCGACTGTGCTTGTCGTAAGAGGCGACTGACGGGATTGGGTGGTCAGGCTCGCTGACTTGGTTGATGCATATCATCTTATTCCAATTGCGTGGATCGATGCTCATGATGTCAATCACTGGATTGTCTGGTCCAGCCTCGATTATTTACAAACGCCGTCATATAGCTGGAATATTGCTGAGTGCGGCGCTAAACAGCAAATAAACAAACAAACAAACATCATGATGTCAATCACTGGATTGTCTGGTCCACACTCGATTATTTACAGACGGCCATCATAAGCTGGAATATTGCTGAGTGCGGTGTAAAAGAAAAAAGACCCCAACCAATTGTAAGTGTAAATACAAGGTTACAGAAGTAAATATGCAAGGTTTACCACGGGCTGGCCATTATCTTTATGCCTCACACTCCAAGTGCTATTTCCTGTCCGGTTTAAGTTTATATGTTCTTTCATGGAATTCAATGCTGCTGTAATTTACTTCATTGTCAGTTCAACAGTAACAATAGCTTTTAGACACTAACAGACCGCCTCCCTGGTCAAGTACTCCGTGTTAAAGCGTCCGCCCGGAGAGCGGAAGGTCCGGGTTCGATCCCCCGCCTCGTCTCTCAAAATACGTGTAAAGATGGTACTTGGTGTTACCCTGTCTGGCGTTCGACGTTAAGGGGCTAAAACAAGGACTGGTCGGCTCGGAGTCAGTATACTGTGTCTGAGTGGGGTATTCATGTTAAACTGCGGCATGGTATCTCAGTGGGCTCGCCATGTAAATCAGCACCAGTCCGCACCAGTACAAGCAGCCACACACAAACATGTAAAATGCGTTAATTTGATAGATATGATTTATTGAAATCCAATAAAAAAATACACAAAGGAATATGCGATTGCAAATAAAAGTTGTATCTGAGTAGTTATAGCTAAGTCCTTCGGATTATTATCGAAGATGAATTCCCAAAACTTCAAAAACAGTTCAAACGAAAGCAGAGTATTCACTTGCATTAAAACGAAGTCACTATCGATTATTAATCAAAACAAATGTAATCAAATATGCTAAGTATAACAATAAGCGACTGACTAAAATATGAAGAAAAACAAATACCATTGTTGAAAAGACATCACTGCAACATTACCGGCACAGGTTCTAACTAATTACTATAACTATTTGCTCAATGTCTAGTCTGGCAATCCTCGTGCGCTGCTCTGAAAGAATTATTTTTTGAAAACATATTTTATTGTTCAAAAAGACAAAGGGATTGGGCATAAGTGCAGCACTTATTACCGCCTTCTTCCTGGTACTGTAAAGCTAATCTCTGAAGAGATCGGGTATTAATGTGCAATCAAGTGCTCCTCAGAGATCTCCTCATTGAATTAACCTGTGCTACTTGTAGAATACATTAAAATGTTTATATCCTGTTATATCTTAAGGCTTTGTTAAGTTGTGAAATTAGTGTAATATAGACATTCATGTAAAATGTGTTAATTAGATAGATATGATTTTTTTAAATGAAATAAAACAACTACATAAAGGAATATGCAAGCGCAAATAAAAGTTATATCTGAGTAGTTATATCTAGGTCCTGTGGATTATTATCGATGATGTATTCCCAAAACTTCAAAAACAGTTCAAACGAACAGCCAGTCTGGCACTCCTCGTGCGCTGCTCTGAAAAGATTTTTTTTTTTTAAACATATTTCATTGTTCAAAAAGACAAAGGGATTGGGCACAAGTGAAACACTTATTGCCGCCTTCCCCCTCAGTACTGTAAAACTAATCTCTGAAGAGATCGGGTATTAATGTGCAATCAAGTGTTCCTTAGAGATCTCATTGAATTAACCTGTGCTACTTGTAGAATACATTAAAATGTTTATATCCTGTTATATCTTCTGGCTCAGATACTGACAGAGTTGGGGATATTCTGGGGAAGGAGGGCGTCGTAAGGTGGAACCCGACTCTGTTTGTTGTCTGCAGTAAACGACTGCGCTATTCCTGCCAGTTCCATACGAAATCTGGAAGTAATCGTAAACAATGACTGAATATATTCAGAAAAAGACGTTCTATCTTTACATTATTGTACCAGTAATCGAGACTGAACATCAACACGTCATATACCAATGGATAGCCTTTGAAGATTAAAACTGAACATTGGCGAATATATGGTTAAAAATAAGAATGAAAAGATATGATCTGCTGACACAAGACCTATGTAAGTAGCCTCGGAGAACCTTGCAACACAAGCACTTACTCCTGCAGGATCTGGACGGCCTCTTGGTCTTGTATGTAGACCGTTTCGAAGTCACCTAATCCATTGGTCTTCTTGGTGCTGAGTAGGTCTGCCACAAGAATCATTTCAAACATGGTCCCCTCACCTGGCAGGGCGGCAAGAACATCCTCCATTGTTCGGGGCTGTCTCTGAAGATATATTTGATGCTAAGGTTTTATCCTTTAACCAATTTTAAATGAAAAACTATACGTTCTGCTTCCAATAAGAATCTACATATTATACTCTTGTATAACAATTCTCAGGCAGCAACAGGTTGTCGACTTTGTCACATAGCGTTATACCAGTGAGAGAGGTGGGATATCGACTTTGTCACATAGCGTTATACCAGCGAGAGTGGTGGGATATGGACTTTGTCACATAGCGTTATACCAGCGAGAGTGGTGGGATATCAACTTTTCTTGCAGATAGCATTGTGCCACTTAGAGCGGTAGGATTTCAACTTTATCACATAGCGTTATACCAGCGAGAGTGGTGGGATATCAACTTTTCTTGCAGATAGCATTGTGCCACTAAGAGCGGTAGGATTTCAACTTTATCACATAGCGTTATGCCAGAAACAGTGGCGGGATGTCGACTTTATCACATAGTCTTATGCCAGTGATTTTAACATCGACTTACCATGACGTGTCATACCAGTTAGAGCGACAGGATATAAACATTTTCAGATAGCATTGTGCCAGTTGGAGTAACAGTATCTCAACATATCACACAGCGTTATGCCAGGGATTTACAGGATATTGACTTTATCAGCTTAGTGTTGTGTCGGTACGAGTGAGTGAATATGGTTTTACGCCGCTTTTAGCAATATTCCAGCAATATATCGGCAGGGGACACAAGGAATGGGTTTCACACATTGTACCCATGTCAGGAATCGAACCCGGGTCATTGGCGACACGAGCGAACGCTTTAACCACTAGGCTACCCGACCGCCCCTGTGTCGGCACCAGTCCTAGTGACAGGATTTTTAAGATAGGGTCGTACTTTACCACTTAGCGCTGTGCCAGTGGGAATTGTGGTGTTGAAGTATGGTTACCTTGTCTTTTGGCGGTGAACCTTTTAGTGTGGATGGATAGGCCGGCGGAAAACTGTAGTTGTCGTACTGGGTGAAGTTGACGGCGGCGTGCTGGACGCTGCATGTGAAGATCACCGACGTCAGTGTCTGGATCAGTTGATCCAGCGTCCTAAACGTGCCCTCGCCAGGAACACCCTGTGTCACAACAGAAAGGGCACATTTAGGAAACAGTATACTATATTCTAGGTACGACATATTACCTTATTCCCAATGAAAGCGTCCAATGCAAAATCAAGGCAAAGCATAGAATGTATAATTCTAAATAATAATAGAATTTTATATGCAAATGAACGTATAAGCGTCACGGTATTACAGGTTTGAACACTACCTACACTGACGCGTGAAGATCCGTGAAGATCCGGGGTGGAAGAGGTGGAAGAGGTCTTCAGCAACACATGCTTGCCGTAAAAAGGCGACTATGCTTGTCGTAAAATGCGACTAACGGGAACGGGTGGTCAGGCTCGCTGACTTGGTTGATGCATGCCATCGATCCCAATGGCGTGGATCGATACTCATGATTACTTACAGACCGCCATCATATAGCTAGAATATTGCTTAGTACGTCATTTAACAACAAACAAACGAACAAACTTCCTACATTGTTTACTCCTACATGAAGGTATGGTTGTAAAGTAACCTAAAAGATCAAAGTGGTATTACCCTGTGTGATTAAGCTAATTGACTCAAAGAAGAGAAATATTTTGCACCAATCAGCGAGAGCGTAACGCAAATCATGTTGTCGCAGCATCAGTTTTTAAAATCTCAAATGGAAATATTCTTGTTTTAAATATCGTGTAATAAAACAATTATTGATCACAATTCGGCCAATGTCATGTTTCATGGACCAAAGAAACTGATATTGACTGATGCCAGCTTTTGGGGTGCATAAAACATGATATTGCCCTTCTGAATGGTCAATAATTGATCCACGCCAACAACCTCCATGACTTCACCAAAAGAAAACTAACAGAAGCAGTCCACATTCGCCGCCACAACCCTTCAATCAACAGAGATCATGGCTATTTCATCCCATCCGCCTACTATGAACTCATCAACCAATAATCACCTGTTTATTGGCTTCATGCCCCCATTGGCTTCTAGCTGTGTGTTTTCTGTCCATCGTGTTGTGATAGCATAATCCCTTTGTTGTCACACCTACATATGTTATCCCACTCATGTATGCCCTTGTTGTTACTATTAATCCTCTACTGTTAATCCTCCACTTGCTATATATATTCTGCACTATGCCCCTCATTCAGTCTTGCTTGACAACGGTATAAGGATCTATACCGAAACGTCGCCTTTTACAGTATTAAAGAAGTTGTTATCCATAAAAATTGTGTCTATCTAATAATTGATCAATATACTATGATCTACTGTGAGTATGGGGAAGAGATATCACATTTGAAACGACCTTGACACAATTTAATTACAATATAGCGTCGACTTATTTATTGCGGTTGGGGTGTTTCGCTTACACAGTCACTTTTAATCAGTCGCACGTGACTCTTTGTGATTAGTCAAATGAAGAAAACCCAATTATTTGTCCAAATTACCGAGGATGTAACACAGCTAGCAGAGGTGAAATTTATAATGCGAATGTGCTGCCTCATTCGTATCGAGCACGAACATCCTGCCTTTAAACGTGAATATGGAAAGGGTTTTGTCTCTTTTATTTATATAACTTATTATTATTGTACTGCATTACTATTAACGACTATAAATGTCTGTCCATATTTGATGGCTATCATTCAATTCTCAACATACATATCAATAGGGATATTGCTTTTATTATATACTTCAGTGTGAAAGACTGAGTTTTCTTAAGTTGAGAAAAGTGATATTTTCATTGCAGTGAACATAACACTTGATATTTCACTGCAGTGAACATAACACCTGATATTTCACTGCAGTGAACATAACACGTTGACGGAACTATGTTGATCTACACGAGACAGCTGGTACACAAACTGTTGATTTACGTCAGTTCAACGTTGACAAGTCATATAATGACAGATGATTTGTATTAAACTGTGAATTTCTATTCTGATTTGTCAGTCGATACTTTACGTTTCGCAAAGCGCCATTTTGTTACTTGAATTGCCTGTATTCTTTCGCTTCGAACAACCGTCTCATTGATTTGAAATTTATTTTTTGATGAAGTTGATTTTGTATATAATCATATCCAAATGTATACTAAAAGAATTTTAGTGACATCAAATATTTTAGGTTACTTTTGTTTTTATTTTTTAAGATTTAGCAAAGACGGAACTACATTTTTAGTCGTACTTACAGGGGGTGGAAAACCGTCCATGTGTGTTATGTAGGGAGAATTTACTCTTGAAGGTTTTACATTTGTAATGAAATAATTTAATCTTCCTGCAGACAACTACACCAAAAGTATATAATAAATATGATATTTCATGTGTCGAGTGAAATATCATGTTTCTCTCATCTCGTGACGGGGGAAAGGAGATATTTTCACTCGTGGCTACGCCACTCGTGAAAATATCTCCTTTCCCCCCGTCACTCGGTGAGAGAAACATGATATTTCATTCGACACATGAAATATCCTCTATGTATCATCATGTAAATAGTTCACTACATGGGGGTTAGGCAGACATAATCGGGAACATATTTTTATTTCTTGTATGTCAAATATATCTTCAAGGATCGAATCATAAAATATGTTCCTTTACAGGTAACAGTAATATTGTATTAGCGGTATGCAATCATGCGCTTCGCTTAGGACCGGAAGTGCTAGTTTTTTAAACGTTGGGTCTACGTTTGTCGGTTGCAAGGGTGGGTTCCGGGGGTTTCTTGTATCGCATGATTTATAGTGCTAGCCCACTGAGATACCATGCCGCAGTTTAACACGACTACCTGACTCAGACACAGAATCCTGACTTCAAACCGACCAGTCCTTGTTTTAGCCCTTAATGCCGAGCCCCAACAACAACTACCATCTTTAAACGTCCATTGGTAGGACGCGCCAGGATCGAACCCCGGACCTTCCGCAATCCGGCTAGGATGGTTCGAATTGATATAAAGTTGTAGTATACTTCACGGTATTAAACGTACCCACGCTAATGTGTGTTTTCCTTATATCATAAGGATAAGTTCTTTTGTTTTGTTTTGTTGTATTCTTTTGCCAAATACATGTACCTCCATGCACACTCACGCGAACTGTTTGTTTGTTGTTTACGCTGCACTCAGCGATATTCCAGCTATATGACGGCAGTCTGTAAATAATCCAGTCTTGATCAGACAATCCAGTGATTGACATCATGAGCATCGATCCAGTTGGGATCGATGACATGCATCGACCAAGTCAGCGAGCCTGACCACCCGATCCCGTTCGTCGCCTCTTACGACAAGCATAGTCGCCTTTTACGGCAAGCATTGGTTGGTGAAGACCTATTCTACCCCGGATCTTCACGGGTCTCTGGGTTTAGATATTGCACTTATATAGCGTGTGTGTGTGTGGCTGCTTGTGCAAGCCCACTGAGATACCATGCCGAAGTTAAACATGAATAACCCACTCATACACAGTATACTCCGAGCCGACCAGTCCTTGTTTTACCCTTACAAGCGCCAGAGAGGGTAACAACAAGTTCCATCTTTTAACGTCTTTTGGTATGGGGATCGAACCCCGGACCTTCCGCTGTCCGGGAACGCTCTGGACGCTCTACCACTAGACCCTGGCGCGGCCTGAGGCTATGTTTGTCCTGGACTAGACTAGATACTGGAAATGCAGAGCAGGTGTCAAAATAGCATTCTTGAAAGTAATCGGCTAGTTGGCGTGTCCTAATTGGTTTAGGTTTTGTAAACCAATCGATCTCCATCTAGTTTATTTTGGTCGATGTACTGTAGTCTACTATAGTCCTTTGATACCAATATACTTTGTTTTGCTTTAGTCCATGTTAGCAAGTATACTGCGATCTGCCAGTCCAACTACGGTCAGTGGTACAACGCCTCCACTCCTGCATCTGCTGTTCTATGTGTTTGGGTCTCAGCCGTCCACTATCCCAAGCTAGGAAAAATCCACCTTACAATTATTTCAAGCTGAACAGTGTTTAATTAACTGCTTTACCGGCCAAGGAATTGATGTAGAGAAAAGAACAGAACTCACTTTCATACCGATGCCTCCATCAGACTTGTCTTTCACAAGCTCTGTGGCCCAGGCTTGTATCTCCAGGTCACTGCGGAGAGCTGTGTCGTCCTCTGCCAAAGAGAGAATGTGATGTAAACATAACAACTGACTCAACTGTGACACAAGCAGCCTCCAAAAGGCCAATAAAGGAAGGGAAGTTGCTTCATACGTTATATCTCCTGTATAACCTTCAACGGAAGACTGAGCCAACAACATCGGTTCTGTAAGGCGACACCCCGACACAGATGAGCTTAAACAGTCTCAGTGACGTGAGACATAGATAGAGCGAGCAACATCTTTACTCTAGCCATTCCGTGATGCATAGATAAGACCGGGCTATGTCTTTAGTTTAGTCATTCCGTGATGTGTAGATAAGACGAGCTACGTCTTTTGTTTAGTCATTCCGTGACGTATAGATAAGACGAGCTACGTCTTTTGTTTAGTCATTCCGTGACGTATAGATAAGATGAGCTACGTCTTTAGTTTAGTCATTCCGTGACGTATAGATAAGACGAGCCACGTCTTTAGTTTAGTCATTCCGTGACGTATAGATAAGATGAGCTACGTCTTTAGTTTAGTCATTCCGTGACGTATAGATAAGATGAGCTACGTCTTTAGTTTAGTCATTCCGTGACGTATAGATAAGACGAGCCACGTCTTTAGTTTAATCATTCCGTGACGCGTAGATAAGAGAAGGTACATCTTCAGTTTAGTCATTCTGTGATGCATAGATAAGACGAGCTACATCTTTAGTTTAGTCATTCCGTGATGTATAGCTAAGAGGAGCTACATCTTTGGTTAAGTCATTCCGTGACGCATTATAAGATGAGCTACATCTTTAGTTTAGTCATAACATGACGCATAGGTAAGACAAGCTACATCCTTAGTTTAGTCATTCCGTGACACATAGGTAAGACAAGCTACATCTTTAGTAAGTCATTCCGTAACGCATATATCAGACGAGCTACATATTTAGTTTAGTCATGCCGTGATGCGTAGGTAATACGAGCTACATTATTAGTTTAGTCATTCCGTGACGCATAGATAAGACAAGCTACATCTTTAGTTTAGTCATTCGGTGACACATAGATAAGACGAACTACATCTTAAGTCTAGCCATTCAGTGACACATAGAAGAGACTAGCTATATCTTTAGTTTAGTCATTCCGTGACGTATAGATAAGACGAGCTACGTCTTTAGTTAAGTCATTCCGTGAGGTATAGATAAGACGAGCTACATCTTTTGTTTAGTCATAACGTGACGCAGAGATAAGACAAGCTACATATTTAGTTTAGTCATTCCGTGACGTATAGATAAGATGAGCCAAATCTTTAGTTTAGTCATTCCTTGATGCGTAGATAAGATAAGCTAATCTTCAGTTTAGTCATTCCGTGACGTATAGATAAGATGAGCTAAATCTTTAGTTTAGTCATTCCTTGATGCGTAGATAAGACAAGCTAATCCTTAGTTTAGTCATTCCGTGACACATAGATAAGACGAGCTACATAGTCATTCCATGACGCATATATAAGATGAGCTACATCTTTAGTTTAATCATAACGTGACACATAGATAAGACAAGCTACATCTTTAGTTTAGTCATTCCGTGACGTATAGATAAGATGAGCCAAATCTTTAGTTTAGTCATTCCTTGATGCGTAGATAAGACAAGCTAATCCTTAGTTTAGTCATTCCGTGACACATAGATAAGACGAGCTACGTCTTTAGTTTAGTCATTCCGTGACGCATATATAAGATGAACTACATCTTTAGTTTAGTCATTCCGTGACACAAAGATAAGACGAACTACATCTTTAGTTTAGCCATTCCGTGACACATAGAAGAGACTAGCTATATCTTTAGTTTAGTCATTCCGTGACGTATAGATTAGACGAGCTAAGCCTTTAGTTAAGTCATTGCGTGATGCGTAGATAAGACGAGCTACATTATTAGTTAAGTCATTCCGTGACGCATATATAAGATGAGCTACATCTTTAGTTTAGTCATTCCGTGACACATAGATAAGACGAACTACATCTTTAGTCTAGCCATTCCATGACACATAGAAGACACTAGCTTTATCTTTAGTTTAGTCATTCCGTGACGTATAGATTAGACGAGCTACGTCTTTAGTTAAGTCATTCCGTGACACATAGATAAGACGAACTACATCTTTAGTTTAGCCATTCTGTGACACATAGAAGAGACTAGCTATATCTTTAGTTTAGTCATTCCGTGACGTATAGATTAGACAAGCTACGTCTTTAGTTAAGTCATTCCGTGAGGTACAGATAAGACAAGCAACATCTTTTGTTTAGTCATAACGTGACGCGTAGATAAGACAAGCTACATATTTAGTTTAGTCATTCCGTGATGCGTAGATAAGATGAGCTACATCTTTAGTTAAGTCATAACGTGACACATAGATGAGACAAGCTACATCTTTAGTTTAGTCATTCCGTGACGCATATATAAGATGAGCTTCATCTTTAGTTTAGTCATAACATGACACATAGGTAAGACAAGTTACATCTTTAGTTTAGTCATTCCGTGATGCGTAGATAAGATGAGCTACATCTTTAGTTTAGTCATAATGTGACACATAGATAAGACAAGCTACATCTTTAGTTTAGTCATTCCGTGATGCATATATAAGATGAGCTACATCTTTAGTTTAGTCATAACATGACGCGTAGATAAGACAAGCTACATATTTAGTTTAGTCATTCCGTGATGCGTAGATAAGATGAGCTACATCTTTAGTTTAGTCATTCCGTGATGCATATATAAGACAAGCTACATCTTTAGTCTAGCCATTCCGTGACACATAGAAGAGACTAGCTATATCTTTAGTTTAGTCATTCCGTGACATATAGATTAGACGAGCTTCGTCTTTAGTTAAGTCATTCCGTGAGGTACAGATAAGACAAGCAACATCTTTTGTTTAGTCATAACGTGACGCATAGATAAGACAAGCTACATCTTTAGTTTAGTCATTCCGTGATGCGTAGATAAGATGAGCTACATCTTCAGTTTAGTCATTTATTGGCGCATAGATAAGTCAAGCTAATCTTCATTTCAGTCATTCCGTGATGCATAGGTAAGACGAGCTACATCTTTAGATAAGTCATTCCGTGACGTATAGATAAGATGAGCTACGTCTTTAGTTTAATCATTGTGTGAAGTATAGATAAGACGACCCACGTCTTTAGTTTAATCATTCCGTGACGCGTAGATAAGAGAAGGTACATCTTCAGTTTAGTCATTCTGTGATGCATAGATAAGACGAGCTACATCTTTAGTTTAGTCATTCCGTGATGTATAGATAAGAGGAGCTACATCTTTAGTTAAGCCATTCCGTGACGCATTATAAGATGAGCTACATCTTTAGTTTAGTCATAACATGACGCATAGGTAAGACAAGCTACATCCTTAGTTAAGTCATTCCGTGACACATAGGTAAGACAAGCTACATCTTTAGTTAAGTCATTCCGTAACGCATATATCAGACGAGCTACATATTTAGTTTAGTCATGCCGTGATGCGTAGGTTCTATGAGCTACATTATTAGTTTAGTCATTCTGTGACGCATAGATAAGACAAGCTACATCTTTAGTTTAGTCATTCGGTGACACTTAGATAAGACGAACTACATCTTAAGTCTAGCCATTCAGTGACACATGGAAGAGACTAGCTATATCTTTAGTTTAGTCATTCCGTGACGTATAGATAAGATGAGCTACGTCTTTAGTTAAGTCATTCCATGAGGTATAGATAAGACGAGCTACATCTTTTGTTTAGTCATAACGTGACGCAGAGATAAGACAAGCTACATATTTAGTTTAGTCATTCCGTGATGCGTAGATAAGATAAGCTAATCTTCAGTTTAGTCATTCCGTGACGTATAGATAAGATGAGTTAAATCTTTAGTTTAGTCATTCCTTGATGCGTAGATAAGACAAGCTAATCCTTAGCTAGTCATTCCGTGACACATAGATAAGACGAGCTACGTCTTTAGTTTAGTCATTCCTTGACGCATATATAAGATGAGCTACATCTTTAGTTTAGGCATAACGTGACACATAGATAAGACAAGCTACATCTTTAGTTTAGTCATTCCGTGATGCGTAGATAAGATGAGCTACATCTTTAGTTTAGTCATTCCGTGACGTATAGATAAGATGAGCTAAATCTTTAGTTAAGTCATTCCTGGATGCGTAGATAAGACAAGCTAATCCTTAGTTTAGTGATTCCGTGACACATAGATAAGACGAGCTACGTCTTTAGTTTAGTCATACCGTGACGCATATATAAGATGAGCTACATCTTTAGTTTAGCCATTCCGTAACACATAGAAGAGACTAGCTATATCTTTAGTTTAGTCATTCCGTGACGTATAGATTAGATGAGCTACGCCTTTAGTTAAGTCATTGCGTGATGCGTAGATAAGACGAGCTACATTATTAGTTAAGTCATTCCGTGACGCATATATATGATGAGCTACATCTTTAGTTTAGTCATTCCGTGAGACAAAGATAAGACGAACTACATCTTTAGTCTAGCCATTCCGTGACACATAGAAGAGACTAGCTATATCTTTAGTTTAGTCATTCCGTGACGTAAAGATTAGACGAGCTACGTCTTTAGTTAAGTCATTCCGTGACACATAGATAAGACGAACTACATCTTTAGTTAAGCAATTCCATGACACATAGAAGAGACCAGCTTTATCTTTAGTTTAGTCATTCCGTGACGTATAGATTAGACAAGCTACGTCTTTAGTTAAGTCATTCCGTGAGGTACAGATAAGACAAGCAACATCTTTTGTTAAGTCATAACGTGACGCGTAGATAGGACAAGCTACATATTTAGTTTAGTCATTCCGTGATACGTAGATAAGATGAGCTACATCTTTAGTTTAGTCATAACGTGACACATAGATAAGACAAGCTACATCTTTAGTTTAGTCATTCCGTGACGCATATATAAGATGAGCTACATCTTTAGTTTAGTCATAACATGACACATAGGTAAGACAAGCTACATCTTTTGTTTAGTCATTCCGTGATG